CTAATTTTTTAGGCAGCTAATTTTGGTTTATTTGAAAGTATGTTGACGTTGTTTAAGACTTTAGCTCCTGATGCAGCTGAAATGTCAGCTAGTTTTGTAGAATGATGTCTCATCCATACTAAAATTACAAATTAATTGATTTAGGTTAAAAATTGTTTTTTTTTTTAATAAAAATTGCTTACCAACTGGTACAAAGGACAAAACACAGAGTAAAACAAAGAAATATTTGATGAATTGCATGTTTATGATGTGGTTGTACTTGTTGTGGTTGTGGATGAAGATATTTGAATGAATTATGAATAAAACTGCTCGGTTTTATATGAAAAATTAACAATAAAGTAGTATAATATTTAAATAGTAACAATTGGAATGTTTTACGTTGGTTATAAGAAGAAAATCAACAAATTATACAATGACAATGACGTTTTTGTATTATATTCATTGTAAAATGAGGTTATGACCGTAAAAATCAAATATAACCTCAAAAATATTAAAATTTTGGTTGTAAACTTGATTATGTTGATATTTTTGATCAAACTGGCCAAATTATTGACTCTATAAGCCGTAAATCAACATTTTAAACTGTAATAATGATATTATTTGATTACATTTGCTGTTTAATGAGGTTATGTCTGTGAAAATCTAATATAACCTCAAAAAATCTTTAAAATTTGTTTGTCAACTTGGTTTTATTGACTTTTTTGAATAGATTTGACAAATTATTGACTTTATAAGCAGTAAAGCAACATTTTATACTATAATAATGATATTATTTGATTATATTTGTTGATAAATGAGGTTATGACTGTGAAAATCCAATATAACCTCAAATAGTTCAAGATTTTGGTTTGTAAACTTTACAAACATTGATTTTTTGATCAAATTGACTAAATTATCAAGTTTTTAACCTGAAAATCAAAAAAAAATATTCAATAACACTCACGTTATTTTATGTAATGACACTGAAAACCAAACATAACCTCACCTAAACTCCCCCCTATTGATTTTTCAAGCCTCAGAACTCTCCTTGAATCCTCCGACTTATTCTCATCCACTAGTATTCATCTTGATATGCCCTGAATTTAAATAGAACTCGAGGGATAAACTGACCGTTCTTTCCTCTTTCTAGTCTTTACTCTCCATAGCAATATCTGAATAAGGATAATCCAGAGATCTCTCTAGCTCCAGTTCCATCTTGCAGGGGATTTTGTCTTTTGAGTGACCAACAACTCACTCCTCACAAACGCTTAGGAGTTATATAGCCGTAGATCAAGAAAACGCTGAAATGTTTAGCGTTTAGCATCGGAATGATCAGATATACACCGCGCGGAAAAAGAGTTTGCAGCGTGAACGTGTGAAACACATGAATAAAAATCCGAATTACCATATACGAACAATGTGGAGTGGAATAAAAGAGGGTGCGGGCATTAGACTTGCAAACTGGATGATATTTCAGCCACTTTAGTTTACAGCGTCGAAAAAGTGTCGTAAAATGTGATGCAGAGTGAGAATTATCCTGTAGAAGTGTGTATTGTGTTAAATAACTGTGAATTAGGCAACTAAACATACATTTTTTAATATTTTGTCTTAAAACCAGCAAAATAATTGATTTTAGGTTAGAAAAAGTAAAAATTTTTAATAGAAATATATAAGATTGATAAATAACGTTGAATTTGGCAACCCAAATCACATATTTTCAAATATTTCTTTAAAAAACACTCAAAAATTGTTGTAAAACGTCAAAAAAAGTAAAAATTAACCACAAAAAACGTAAATTATTGAATTCTTTTACAGTATGCAACCAAATATACACATTTTTCATTAAAACGCACCTAAAAATGCCATAAAACACGAAAAAAGTATAAATTCTTCACTATAAGTGTATATATTGATGAATAGCTATGAATTATGCAACCCACCACACACATTTTTAATCAAAACTGTAAAAAACACTCAAAAATGTCGTAAAATGTCAAAAAAGTAAAAATTAACCACAAAAAACGTAAATTATTGAATTTTTTATAGTATGCAACCCAACATACACGTTTTTCATTAAAACGCACCTAAAAATGCCATAAAACACGAAAAAAGTGAAAATTCTCCACTAAAAGTGTATATATTGATGAATAGCTATGAATTATGCAACCCACCACACATATTTTTAATTACATCTTAAAACAATCGTTATAATTGACTCCGTCCATAAATCTGCACGTCAAAAGTGAGTTGTTGATTGTTCCCCCTCTCTTTTTCTTTCTTATCCACCAGCGCTACTTGTTTTTAAAATAATCAACGGGCTCCTGCTACCCCTGCATTGTGCCTCCCTTGATATCTCACCACTCACCACCACCCCGCGTGTCCTGCGTGTCCCAGCGGTGGTGGCTGCGGCGGCTGCGTTCGTGTGAATGATAACTAAGTAATTAATCATTGAATTTAGACGGTATTTGCGCTCGCGAGCGGCGATGCAACTTAATTTGTAAGATAAATACCCCCGTATTAATTAGATTCCGTCAACAAGGCGGCGAATAATTACTTAAGATACACCGAGCGTAAGAAGAGAGAGTAGATATAGTCTCCTTGTGGTTTTGGTGGATGTGGAGGCGTAGCGTCTTTCTTAATACTTTATCGCCTTCGAGCAGCTTTGCCACATTTGCATAAATAACCAATAAAGTGCGCTGGTATTATTTCACAGATTTGAAAATTTCATGAATATAATTCGTTTTTGATTTAGATTTTATTCAGATGTACATATTTACAATTATTAGAATCATTTACAATTATTTAGTGAGAATGTTGACATTGTCAAGGATTTTTGCGTTGGAAGCAGCCGACACGTCAATCAAAGGTTGATTATGATGATGGTGATGATGATTGCCTCCAGGATGCATCAAAACTATAAAAAATTGTTAAAAATATGAAAATAGATGTAAAACAGTTAAAAATTAACTTACCAGTTTGGAAATGAGCGAAAACCGAGACAATCATGAAGAAAAAGTAGTAGAAGTTCATTGTTGAGGTTATGTTGGTACTATTGTAGGTTAACAGTGAGTGAATGATGTAAAACGTAAAAATATCAACGCTTTTATACTAAATGAACGTTTAAACGTTTATTTTAAGGTTTTACGTAGGTAATTGTTTTAAAATTAATAAAAAAATATTGAAACAAACAATTTTGAATGAACAATAGTAACAATGGATGATTCTTATAGTGAATGTTTACTATTAATGATAAAAATGAGTTTTTTAGTATAAAAGCTTGTAAATTTAATTTTTTTCATTTTTATTTTCATTTTTGGGTTTTACTGTAATTTTTTAATAAAATAATTGACAAAAATTGAGGTTAGAACTTCTAAAAGTATAAATTTTTAAATAAAAAGTTATAAATTAACAATAGCAATAATTTTTACTGTGAATTATTAGGAAAAAAGTTAAATTTTGGTAAAAAACTAAAAAATCCGTTTTTTTCATTTTACAGCATTTTCTTAATCAAATAATTGCTTAAAATGAGGTTAGATCTATCAAATATATAAATTTTTAAACATAATCACTTTTAAATCAATAATAGCAACAATTTTCACTATAAATATTTAAAAAAAGTCAAATTTTATCAAAAAAACTTAAAAAATTAAATTTTTCCACTTTTATTGTCATTTTCTTTGTTTTACTTTAATTTTTTAATCAAAATATTGCCAAAAATGAGATTAGAACCTCTTAAAATATAGACTTTTAAATGAATACTTATAAATAAAGTAAAATAACAATTTTTACATTAAATAATTGTAAAAAAGGAAATTTTAGTTAAAAAAAATTTTAAATTTAATTTTTTTCATTTTACAGCATTTTCTTAATCAAATAATTGCTTAAAATGAAGTTAGATCAATCAAATATATAATTTTTTAAACATAAACACTTTTAAATCAATAATAGCAACAATTTTCACTATAAATATTTAAAAAAAAGTAAAATTTATCAAAAAAAACTTAAAAAATTCAATTTTTTCAGTTTTATAGTCTTTTTCTTGTTTTACTTTAATTTTTTAATCAATTTATTGCCAAAAATGAGGTTAGAACCTCTTAAAATATAGACTTTTAAATAAATACTTATAAATAAAGTAAAATAACAATTTTAACATTCAATAATTGTAAAAAAGTAAAATTTTAGTAAAAAACAAATTTAAATTTCATTTTTTTTCAATATACAGCATTTTCTTAATCAAAAAATTGCTTAAAATGAGGTTAGATCAATCAAATATATAAATATTTAAACATAAACACTTTTAAATCATTAATAACAACATGTTTCACTATAAATAATTTAAAAACAATGAAATTTCATCAAAAAAACTTCAAAATTTCAATTTTTTAATTTTTCCACTCAAAACTAATTTTTTTCATCAATTAATTACCCAACACAATTTTCGAAGTTTCTACAACGCCGCCAGACATGCAAGCAAATATTGAAGCACGCGCATAGGTACTCCTAATACGAAACCCTCTACCTCCGGTCACGAATAAAACCAGACGTTACCCAAACGTGAGGACGCAGCGCGGACGCAAGGGGAAAGGCTTGCAATCAATAGCTGTGTAATTACCTCGTTCAAGTGTCTAACCGCTGACACACCTACAGCTTGTTGCTCTTCGGAAGTTTGTCATCGCATACCCTCGCCGCGCGTATCCATTTCAGACTTCCTCAACGACATTTACGATTTCCTCCGACATCCTGCTGAATGTAAACACAAGATAATGACGTCAATGACGATTATGCGACGCGTGTAGTGTTATTAATTAATCAGAATCTCTGTTCCTATTAGTACTACACCCTGTTTTGCATGTTAATGTGACAAAAGACAAAATGATTTCACACTTGAAATGCCAGTGAAATTCAAACTGTTTGTAGTTGTAAGTTTAGGTTGTGTTGTAGTGGAGTATGACTGGTTGCCTAGCACTGGTTGGGAATGTGCGTGTGGTTGCGTTTGGGGTCGGTTCGAAATTTAATTAGAATTGTTGGCATTCCTCGACCAATGGTCATTTATAATCGTGACATACAAAGCATTACACTATGTTACATTATATTGCACGCATTTACAACTTGTATTTACAACATTTACAGAATATTAAGGAGATAACTTGGGTATTATACATTTTTATCGCTTTTAACAACAATTACAGTTGTTGCAGTTGTTGCAATCGTTGCAATCACAATCGTCTGAGGTTAAGATGTTAATATTGTTAAGAAGCTCAGGATCTTTGATAAGGGATGAAATGTCGATAAGGGTACCTCCATGGGGTTTCATCAAAGCTAAAATTATAAAAATAAATAAAAATTTTTTTTTGTATAATAATTTTACTTACCATGTTGAAATACAGCAAAAACAGAGAGAAGTGCAAGTAAAACTTTGAAAAAATGCATTTTGAGGTTAGAATTTACTGTTTTTGAGGTTAGGTATTAAATATATGTAAATCTTTAAAGATTGTTCTGTGTTATGATGTTTTATGCAACTTTCCAACTCTTTTTATACTCGTTTTGATTAATTTTCATTACGTGAATGTTTTATTTGACAATACATAACCTTATTTACAAAATAAATTTATTTTTCATTACAGATCACAATAAACACTCGTAATCAGACTGATTACACATAAATAAATATTTATTTCTTAAATAAATACTTTTATCACTCGTAATTTATAGAAAAATTAAAATTTTATTTTTATGGTTGAAAAATTAATTTGCGTTACAGATGTCTTCAATCTATCCGGGGATTTCTCGTGCGCAATTGTGAATATCCTGAATATCCTGAATATCCTAGTATTTCAGTGACGCAGATGCGCTATTGTCAACCGTAAGAGCACCACATTGGTCATCCTGACAATGGCAATCCACTAACCACTATACTAAACGCCCCACGTAATCATCATTTAACGCAGCGACCACCGACCACGCCGAGGCTCACCCTCGCTGCTCACATTCACAATTCACGAATTCAGATCCACCCTACAAATCAACCAGGCGCAATTCTAATAGTAATCTAAACCTGTAATCATTTAAACACCTCAAAACCTCGAAAAATTCATTTTATTTCCTATAAAGTAAAAAAAATACCGGTATTTTGTCAAGAAAACCGGTTAAATACCGGTATTTACAAAAATAAATATAATTTACGTGTATTCTGAGGAAAAAACTGTTTTTTATTTTTAAAAAAACGGTATAATACCGGTATTTTGTGAGAAAAACCGGTTAAATACCGGTATTTAAAAAAGAAAATATAATTCACGGGTATTCTGAGGAAAAAAACTGTTTTTATTAAAAACAAACCGGTATAATACCGGTATTTTGTGAGAAAAACCGGTTAAATACCGGTATTTACAAAAACTTTTAAATCCATTTATATTTCTTAATAAAATGCGGTATTTTTTTTTACTAAAAACCGAAATAATACCGGTTATTTTTGCGGAAAACCGGTTAAATACCGATATTTTCTAAAAAAGTAGGGTTAAATTCTAAAATAATCAAAAAGTTATTTTTTTATCAAAATATTTATTTTTTTATTACAAACAAAATCTGATAAAATATTTTTTGTATTTTTTTATTGTTTTGAGTTTAATTGTTAGTAAAAACCCCAAACAAAAGTTTTTTTCGTCATTTGAAGATTGAAAACTAAAGATTCTGGCCTGATGTGTGTACCCACTCGAGAATGACTCTTTTACAAATGATTTCCCCTTAGTCAATGACCGTTATTGTGCCATGGCTGTGCGCACACAAAGCCGCAAACAGCGCTCTCGACGATTATTAAAATGTGACGTCACCGCCCACCATTCCGTGGTTAATTATTGGAAATAGAACACCTGCTGCCCGCTATACAATTCCGCGGTTGTGATGTGCAAGGGTGGTGGACTATACACGCACACAATTAACTCATAAACATAAAAAAGTAAAAAGGGGAGATTCTTTCGAAATGTCAATGCATAACCTCAAATAATTTTATTTACATTCAGCAGAAGCATATTTACAAGAAACAAAATATTTTTGAGATGTTTAACACCCTTCACAGGTGTAACAATATTCTCCAAGGATATTGAGGCAGTTGAGGATTTGTGGATTTTCGATAACAGAAGAAATGTCGATTAAAGCGCCGCCATGAGGTTGGGGCATCATCCAAACTAAATATAATTAATATTAATTAATAATTAATGATTTTTTTAATGAAAATATAAATATAAATAATTACCATCTTGGAATAGAGCCATAACAACAACAAAAACAAAGATGACTTTGATAAAACTCATTTTTTTGAATTTTAGGTTATGATTTGAGGTTATGTTGGTATTATTGTAATATCTTGTGATATCTGATGATTATTCCACATTTCTCAGTCTTTTTATATAAAATAATTGTTGATTATACTTTGTTTATATTGTAAATATAAATAATTAACATACGCATGAGTTTATCACTGTGAAAATATCATGTAATGGAAAAAATTGTATTATTGACGTTTTCTAGGTGTCAATTGAGGTTATGTTTAAAAAATAATCAAAAAATCTGATTTCAACAAGCTCTTGAGCACATTTCCCCTTTTCGATTTGATATATGACCCTACTGATATAATATAATTAGAAGCCGGCTCGAATCAACCCTTATCTATTTGAATAGTGTGGTAAAGGGACGACAAAAACGTATTTGTTACCCCCTTGTCCTCATCTGACACATCATCAAACGTGGAACAAGAACAAGAAACTAAAAATTAATTATTTTTCTCAAAACATCTAAAAACTTAAATGTTTAGTAAAAACCGGTTTAATACCGGTATTTTTTATGAAAAACCGTTTTAATACCGGTTTTTGGTAAAACCTCAAAAGTTGAAATTAGAAATAGAACAAGGGTCTATGCTTTGTGTCTCCTCAATCTAGTGCAATCTGGATGGCACGATCTTCGATAGGTTTTACAATTTCGGGCGCTGCGGCGAGAGTGCAAAGAGCACGGCTGCGGCGACAGTCGAAATCGGCAACTCGTTGCGATAGCACGCAGATAACACCAACCCGGCATTGTTAATGCCCGTCTGAACTCTCTCGCCGCGCTGATAAGGTTCCCCTTTTTTGTGTGTGCCGTTGAACCCCGCCATTCAAATCAGCGACAAAACGCATTGTTCCAATTTGTATTCAAATACTAACTTAAAACTTACTACACTAACAAAATACAACTATTCTGTACTTTCACTTTTAAAACTCAAGCTTTTTATGATTTTTAGACATAAAAAGTGATATTTTAAGCAAAAACGGCCAAAAATGTGATTAAAGTACATTAGTCACGGGTTTTAGTCACGGGGTGAAGTTTGCGCATGCGCATTAGCCTACGGTGCAGCACAAAACGTAGAAATAAATAGAAAATAGAGACAAAAAGCAAAAGCATCAAGTGGCTAAACATTATTAATCACTCCATTGATTAAACCCTCGCTATATTAGCTTTTAATCACTCTAAAAAAACTTACTACACCAACAAAATATACAACTATTTTGTACTTTCACTTTTAAAATGCAAGTTATTCACGGTTTTGAGGCACAAAAGCGATATTTTAAGCAAAAACGGCCATAAATGTGAAAAAAGTACTTTAGTCACGGGTTTTAGTCACGGGGTGGAGACTGCGCATGCGTATTTGCCTACGGAGCAGCACAAAACGTAGAAATAAATAGAAAATAGAAAAAAAAAACAGCAAAAGCATCACGTGGCTAAACATTATTAATCACTCGATTGATTAAACACTCGCAATATTAGCTTTTAATCACTCTAAAAAAACTTACTACACCAACAAAATATACAACTATTTTGTACTTTCACTTTTAAAATTTAAGTTTTTCACGGTTTTGAGGCACAAAAAGTGATATTTTAAGCAAAAACGACCAAAAATGTGAAAAAAGTACTTTAGTCACGGGTTTTAGTCACGGGGTGGAGACTGCGCATGCGTATTTGCCTACGGAGCAGCACAAAACGTAGAAATAAATAGAAAATAGAAAAAAAACAGCAAAAGCATCACGTGGCTAAACATTATTAATCACTCGATTGATTAAACACTCGCTATATTAGCTTTTAATCACTCCCGTGACTAAAACTCCACTTTAGTCACGTGATACTTAATATACTATCATAGAAATAAAAGAAACGTTTCATATTTTTGGTAAAAATACAAAATGCGTCTGTTTTCCTTCCCTGGCGGTAATAAAAGTGTGAGTGTTGGTTAAGTGTCGGCTTGTGCCGTTTATAGTTGCACTTGCTAGTGCGCCAGCATCTCATCACATCAACTAACTCGATTAGAGCTAAGAGCAACACGAAACACGATTACGCGTATATCAACTCACATGTGTCTGTTTCCCTCTACTCTACTCTGTCACCCTCTTAGTAAACACCAATTTTTATTAATCTCAAATTCTATTTTTTTTCTCTTTGCTTTAGTTTTTAGTTTCTGTGGCAGTAGCCATCACCTAAGTAAAAGAAAAAAGCGCAGTTTATCATTTTCATATAGAATATACTCCACTATCGGCATCTTATATTTTATTTTATCTCCGCGATTGTTTTTTACGACTCCCTGAAGTATTTCTGCCTGGGGGAAGTCGAAGAAGAGCAAAAAATGAAATAGTTTCGACGAGGAAAAAACCAGACGATCAGGGCATCAGACGATCGTATTAATACATTGGGAAATTCCATAAATCAACATGCTATCGGACGTGCGTCTATTTTTCTTTGGTTTTATGTTTTATGTTGGTGATAACGCGCGTTATCAGCCGCCTGCGTTTAATTTCGTGCTTTGATCCATATTTATCAGTAATGTTTATGCATATCCATCAACTTCAAAAATAAAAATTAATAAAATTTAAATATCTCAGAACATATTCAATGTACAATATTGATTAATATATCAAATCAAAGAGAATTTAATCACGCATCTTTTGGTTTTTATAAATTTTAATTTTATTAAAAATTGTGGAAACTACAAGGAAAAAATCTCGAGAAAAACAGTGCTTTTTAAGTATTTACAGATGAATTTATTTATTTACAAGATCTGTAGGGATTAATAATATAGTTTAAACAACATATTATTAATGTTTAACATCCTTCACACTCAAAACATTAATGTCCAAGGATATTAAGGCAGTTTAAGATGTTTGGATCTTCGATAACAGAAGAAATGTCGATTAAGGCTCCTCCACCATTAGGTTGAGGCATCATCCATGCTAAAAATATAAATAATTATTAACATTTACACTCAAATATAACATTATACAATTAAATAAATAAAACATGAACTTACCAGTTTGTACCAAAGCAAAAACTGCCAAAACTACGAAGAAAACAGTCGAAACATTCATTTTTTAATAAAATTTTATATTTTTTGTTGTGATTTCTTAAGATGTATCAGATGATTTGATGCTACCTTCAACTCCAAGCTGCTTTTTATATAATCCAAGATTTACACAATTAACACAGATAAATAAAAAAAATGTAGGTATGTAGATTGACGTATGAAAAACATAATTACGCGTGGATGATGCAAGTTTTTGATTACAAATTAAACAAAAACACCAAACAACTCGAGAAAAAGTAAGTTTCATTAAGTTACACAATCCCCTGACAGTGTGCGTCACCCATGGGACTTGATATTGATGATTTGTCACGGCGGAGAAGTCTTCCGTGCGTGTCTCGGCGATAATAACGTCAGTTGCTGTGATTCGCTCAATTTCGTCATGTCAACTTCATTTCATCTTCATCAACACCACAAACAAATTCTCTCTCAGATTCTAATTATTAATATAATATCAACATCATTATATTCGTGTATAATGATCATTAATGTACAATGTACTTTTGATGTGTTTTTGCATAATATCATAATCTGTGTTATCTTTGTTTCGTCGTCGTTGTGTTGACGTGAAACACAAAAAGAGAAGATGTTCATGTGAAACCAACAAGAATGTAGGTAAAGGGAATTTTGTTTTAGCTGAGATTGCCGCGAATTATTGTCGGATGCACAAAAGCGCAAGAAAAGTAATATGTTGGTAGATAACCGCGAAGGTAAAGCATAGTCTCACGGAGACATTAAAACCGACGTCGCTCTTATCGCACGGCAATATGTCTTACAGTCTTGGGTGTAGATAAGATCGCTGAGAAACAGCGACAAGTTACAGTTACACTACGAGTACACCCGCACAAAGCACAAATGCGGAAGTTAAAGTTGAAATTCAACAAAATTCAGGTAAAAAAATATTTTTTTTAGGAAAAACCGGTTTTTAACCGGTATTTAACCGGTTTTTTTCAATTAAATACCGGTATTAGACAAGTTTTTACACAAAATATCGGTGTTATACGAGTTTTTATTAAAAAATATCGACAGATTTAATTTTTTTAATCTGAAAATACCGGTATTTAACCGGTATTTCTTAAAATACCGGTATTAGACAAGTTTTATCATAAAAAAACCGATATTCTAACAGTTCTTATTAAAAAATATCGACAAATTACAATTTTTTTACTCTAAAAATACCGGTATTTAACCGGTTTTCCTAAAAAATACCGGTATTAAACAATTTTTATCACAAAATACCTATATTAAAAAAATTTTATTATTAAATATCTACAAATTACAATTTTTTATTTAAAAAATACCGGTTTTTAACCGGTTTTTCACTCAAAATACCGGTATTTTACGTTTTTCTCCTCCAAACCGAACCTAACCTATCTTACGCTTGTACAATACCGCAGCATATGATGTAATACCCACATTTGTACACAAAATACAAACACAGTGAAGCGAAGAAAAGGATTAAGAGACTAAGCTAACACAATGGTCGGAAAACCGTCGGCGGTATTGTCGCACCCTCTCTCGTTTCGCTTTTAAATGTCGGATTAGCGTATTAACATTTATGCTAGACGGGCGCTGAATGTGTGTAATCGCCGCGCGCCGCCGCAACCTCTGCCGGCGGCGTCACACATCACCGCATCGGCACATCAACATCACCGCGCCATCCGGGCGGGGGCGGTTGCGCGTTTATTAGCCTTCGTGCGGGCGCGCTACAGCGTAACAATTACTCATACGCTCCGTTTAATGTCGGACTGCTACCGTTCGCCGCTGTGAGCACTTCATAATGCGTAATGAAATAACGCTCAAGTGTGGGGCGGGCTTTTTCCTCGCCTGGATGCATTGATCAGTTTTATTTTTCATATCATACTCATGTGGAAAAAAAATTAAAAATACCGGTTTTTCTAAAAAATACCGGTATTTAATCGGTTTTGCTGCAAAATACCGGTATTATATCGGTTTTTATTCTAGTTATTAAATTTTTAAAATTAATAAATGCCTGTTTTTTACCTATTCTTACAAACAAATACCGGTATTTAACCGGTTTCCTCGAAAAATACCGGTATTATACCGGTATTTTATAAAAACCAAAAATAATCCATTTTTCTGACTGAATTTTCGCGTGAATAGAATTTTTCTTCATATTAAAATGTCGTAAAATAAAATTTGCAAAAGTAATTTATTTTTTATTTGTGAAAATTTGGCAAATTTACATAAAAATAGCCCACTTACGAAGGGTTGCCCGGATGTGACAGAGGGTACGAAGTAAGAAAAGCCACCGTCGAGTATTTTTTGATGAGCAATATAGAAAAAAACCGACGACGAGTGCGGAATAAATTCGTTTTTAATCGAATCATGTTGCAATTAACAATTACGAAAAGTCTCGGCTTCATTCTGCGCGCTTCATCGCAGCGGTCGCATCTCATTTTCTTTTTTGTTACACTTTCTTCCACAACAAGGGGTAACACAGCAGTAGATAAATTAACGCGGTTAAAAACTGATGCTCACCACTGAGGGTGTAAATGAATTTAGTCCCCGACGAGAGGAAAAATAAGCGGGGTGCTAATGAACATTATAAAATGTGATGAAATAATTAGAAATGTTTTTTTAGTATTTGCTACTCTGAGCCTAAATCTGCGCGTGCGGTGCGGAAGGGTGGTTTGTCGCTAATTGGAGCGACGGTAGTGATTACCAAGGTAATTAATGGGCCACGCGATACGACAGTGCAGCCGGTGTGTATTCATCGACCAATATACAATATGAAGGACGAGAGGATGCCAGGACGACGTATTCCCATGGACGTTGTAAATTATCCTCGCGCTGCAACCCCAACGTCTTCATCCCTTCTTCTCCTGTCCCTTCATCGCTTGGTTTACATCTTAATAACTCAAACTCAAGCTTCTCTTGTTATCCTTGATCCTGTACGCAAATATTACTAATTGATTACAAGAGAATACACTAATAACTATTTTCTTGGGTAAAAAACTCCGACATTTTTAATAAAAACCGGTATAATACCGGTTTTAGTTAATAAATACCGGTATTTTTATGAATAAAAAAGACAAAAATTCTATTCTTGCAAAAAATTAAGACCAAAAATTAATTATTGTATTTTTCAGGTTTTTTCATAAAATACCGGTATTATACCGGTTTTACAAACAAAATACCGGTATTTTTCATTAATAAAAAATAAGAAAACTCAATTTTTGCAATGAAAAAATTAATCAAAATATTAATTTAAAAATTTTCTGGGTAAATATCGGTATTTTACCGGTTTTTTCATGAAATACCGGTATTATACCGGTTTTTTCATACAAAATACCGGTATTTTTTGTTTTAAATATCAAAAATTCAATTCTCAATAAAAATAAATTCACCAAAATGAAATTCCGTTAGAAAACGGTTAACAATCCCTTCAAAAACCCAAATTTTATGGAAATCCCCAAAAAAGGGCGATTTGAACCATATCAATCTGTGCCCATTCAGCGGTAGCATGTAAAAATGATCGACTTTGCATGTTTTTACTTAACTTTACATATCTGAGCAATAAATCAGCGCCGCGCTGGATCGACACACCGCATATGCGTCCCCGGTTTTGGCGACGCACATGTGCGCACAGGGTGCGCGACCGTGGGAACCCCATTCCGACACTGACCTGTTCTTCCTTCCGAAGGGCGCCGCACGGCTAATTCATGCGAACCGTATGCATACGATATGCATATTACACCAGCACACCTTAGCCGCACCAAACTTTGATTGTGAATGCGTGAATAGATAGAAAGGTCAAGAATGGTTGGAATATTCAAAGAGGGGTTCTCGATAACCGAACGCCAGTGGGTTTATTTATTTTGGCCGAAAATAAAACGCACGCATTGAGAAAGATTTGTAGAAAGAATGGCCAGGATGACCAGTATGGTCATTAATTGTTGCGACGGTTTTGGGACCGGACAGGGATAGTGTCAAACAAGTTCAACCGCTTTTTCGATGACCCAGGCTTTCTTTTGGTGAGATTAGGCAGGAAAACAATTGGAATGTTTACTGGAAGGATCATAAATCATTTATTACGGGTTATAAAGGTTTAAAAATTGAAAAAATGTTAAAAATTTTAGAAAAGTATGAAAATTTGGCAAAAAACGCATTATTTTTGTATAATTTAATTAATATCTGTGATTTTATTGGTAAAAATTAATAATTTTTTAAGTAAAAATATAGAAAAACATGATTATCAATTATTTTTATTAAAATACTCCTTAAAAACGTAAGAAAAATGGAGAAAAACGCAAAAAAAAACGATCAAAATTTGACCAAAAATTGATTATTTGTGTATAATTTAATTAATATCTGTTATTATATTGGCAAAAATTAATAATTTTTTAATTAAAAATATAGCAAAACATAGCTATCAATAATTTTTATCAAAATAATCTTTTAAAACCTTAGAAAACACGACGAAAAACGCAAAAAACGATCAAAATTTGTCAAAAAAATGCGAAAAAAGGTAAAAATCACTCGTTTTTCCACAAAATAATTCACCAAAAATTCATTTTACTGTATTTTACTCAGATTATTATACAACATAGCAATAAATATATAGCAAAACATGATTGTTAAAGATTTGTATCAAAATATTCCTTAAAATCCCAAGAAAAATTGAAGAAAAACGCAAAAAACGATCAAATTTTACCAAAAAATGCAAAAAACGTTGTTTTTCCACAAAATAATTTACCAAAAATTAATTTAATATATTTTACTCAGATTATTACACAATATACAAAAGTTAATTAGGAAATGAAGATTAAACTTCACATTTCCCTACCCAATGTTCCATACTTATTCTATTATTACCTATTATGTAAGAAAGAAAAGCATTGTGAAGATTTTCGTGCACATTGTTAGCAAACTTTCAAACTCCTCCAACGACGACAGTATTATCCGATCCTGCGTAGGTAGCTATATAGGTACCTATAAGAAGTACGACAGTATAAGAAGATAGACAGACACACTCCGCCGACGTCTTGATGAAAACGCCGCATCACAAAAGCAGAGATAAGCTCCCCGAGGAGAAGGTGTGCGTCGCGCAGGGCGTATCGACGACACAAAGTAATGAAAATCCACGCGGCGAGGAAATAAGAATGATGCGCCTCTCGTTCCGAATTAGGTGGGCCAGGCGCTAGTGAGCACTTCGGGTAGTTAATTAACTCGAGCGCATGTTGTTCACGCTCGGATGCCTATGAAAAGACAACGATTAGTACAAAACACGAGAATTTAGGAGAGAAAAACATGGAAAAATAGTAAAAATATCGGTATTTAGAAAAAATGTTAAAAAGTTAATTATTTATGAAGAATTAGTTTTAATTTATAGGAAAAATATGTTAAAACCGAAAAATATTTCAAATACCTTTTACTTTGTAAAACAAAAAAAAAATGTAAAAATGTATAAAAATGTAAAATTTAAATTTATAATAAAAAATAATAAAATACCGGTTTTTACCTCAAATACCTACCGGTTTTTTACCCAAAAATACCGGTATTTTAACATTTAAAGAAAAAAAATTTTAATTTTGAAAACTTAAAATTTAATCGTAACAAATAATAAAAATAAAAAAGTACCGGTTATTACTTCAAATACCTACCGGTTTTTCCAACAAAAAATACCGGTATTTTTTAAAAATCCCCATAACTCAAACAAAAAAATTATTTCAAAATTTTTCAACCGCATTATTTTTAATTAAATATACTAATTACAACATAATTATTTCTACCCTTGTATAAAATTATACAACACGTTTATCGCCTTGTTAGTCGCATGTAGTTTTATTGCAACATGAAATTATGCACCCGTTGTACCGCTAATTGCCGCGCACGTTTATCTACCACACTGCACACCGCACCAACACAATCCCGGAAGTGTTATTGCCGCACTTGTACCGTCCTAACTCAATAACGCAAAGAGCCGAAGCACCGAAACACCTGATGCGTGTGCGTGTGCCGTGCACGCGCACAGAGGGATGCAAAAGGGTAGAGAATATAATCAGGTAACGCAGATTCAAGAGGATGAGAGGGATGCTGATGCACACGTGCCCCAAATATAATATAACAACAAAAAAAGGGTTCACTGAGGTTTTTTTCACCGGTATTTTTTGATATTATTGTTATGATGCTCAGCATCCGATATCGAAGTAACAACTACGCGTCTCCTCGTTGGGCGACGTGCGCGAATCGTGCACGCACGCGGTAACGATGGAAACACATCGCGAAGTGTGGGTGGGTGGTGCTGGTGGTGTGTGGTAGAGGAAAAACGCCCTCATTGTGGTAGTGAGTGAGTGTGGTTTTCGCGTGTCGCGCCCCTTCCACCAGCACCGCGGGCCGCCTATTGGCCCGATGCGTGACCTGCCTGTGAACCAAGGACCTCCCCGGCCCGCCCAGGCCAAGTCGGGTGTCGGGTCCGAGACCGAAAGGTCACTAGTAGAGGCTAGAGAGTGCCGAGGGGATGACCTATCACCTCGAGTGCTCTGATACGTGCTCGTTCGGCGGTCGCGCGGCCAAAATTTCCTCGACGGAAAAATTTATTAAACAACACAGTGCAAAATAATAAGAAAAATTTTTTTCTTTGCTAAGAAAATAAAATTTCGTGTTTTTCGGTTTTATACTGAGTGTTTTCAAGTGGATATAAATTTGTGCGTGGCGTGATTTGACCTGTGGCGTGGTGATAACATGGCTCTGGTGGCACCGTCGTGGCGCGAATCGACGCTGGTGAACCCCATGACGACGAGCCTCAACTCGCTGACGAACGCGCTCAACCCGGCTGCTGGTGGCGGTCTCAACCCGCTCGCCGGCAACCTCACCCCGATCACCACCAATCTCAATCCGTTGGCGCTGGAAAACCAGCCGGATCTCTCGCTCGTCAAGCATCGCCTCACGCCCTCGCAGAACTCGCAGAACAGTGCGAATAGTGTCGACAAGAATCAGAACATCGAGTGCGTCGTGTGTGGTGATAAAAGTTCCGGCAAACACTATGGACAATTCACATGCGAAGGTAAATTGACGAAATTGTGTGTTGGTATGCATGCATGCATGCATATTCATGTGGCGTATGGAAATTCAGTGAGGGTTTTTGAAATTGATGCAAATCGCGCGTAACTTGCTGGATTTTTCGCTGCCGGAGTGCGAAAAATGACGGTAATCGCGTTTGGGTGCTATGAACGCCTCGAATTCATATAATGGTAATTTCAACGAGTGTTGCATTAGTCCCTTTTTCATTTTTACATAATTTTAACTACAAAATATGAGAATATTAAAAAATATGAGAATTTTTTTTCAAAAAAATAAAATTTTTGCTAAAAATTCAGAATTAATTTATTAAAACAGTAAATTTTTGCGGAAAACTTTTTTTTCATATTTTATAACCAAATTAGTAAATATTGATTCAAGAAAAATTCAGAAAATATTGTTTTTAGAAGTTTTGAACTTTTTTCGCAAAACATTTTCTACAAAAAATTTGCAAAATTTTCAATTTTTATGATTTTAATTAGAAAAAAATATGAAAATATAGAGAATTAAAAACTAAATCTAATTTATTTAAATAATTTTTCAAAATAATTCGTAGTTTTTGCTCAAAAAAATAAAAACCAACATTTTATTCCCAAAATTTGCAAAAATTTACTTTTTCTGGCAAAATTTCATATTATTTCACTAAATTTTTATAGTTTTTAAGAAAATATGCAATTATCTTTTATATTTTATCAGTTTTTCTTTAAAATTTTTTTTTCTTCAAAATTTTTAATTTTTCTTAATTTTTACCCAAAAAACAATTTAATAAAACTTCTACACTTGATTCTTAATTATTTTAATTAAAGTTACTCATACCAATTATACTCTCAACATTTATCCTCTCAAAAATTTCATATTCATACGCCTTCGGCGAATTTCGTCCACAACGAGCGTTGTAATGTTGTCGATTATGTTGACAGTGATAAAACGATGACACACTATGACGCGAACGACGTCGTTGATGCGCTGCGATGATAAAACGAGCCATGAAATAAAAAAAGTTACGCACATCTCAAGTGGGAATCTCGAGGGAATCGTTAGTCGGAAAAAATCGCGGTTTATAAAAACATTATTGCTTACTTCCCCTCTTCCCCCTGCCTGCGCCTGTTTGGTCATAAAACAATCAGAAGCAAAACGAGGGAGGAATAGATTATATATTTAGGTGTTATACAAACAGAAAAAATCAAAATTTGTGTAGAAACGTTATTTTACGGTTGAAATCGATGAATGAGTCTGGGGGTGTGTTTGGGTATTGGGTGATGTCTAAATTGGACATTTTTTGGACATCTGCTGGGCGTTACAAATTGGGCACAAAATGTTTCGTTGCTTTTGTAGGATTTCTTCAAACGAATGATATATTAGCGGTTAATCTGTGCTTAGAATCCATATTAGTATTTGTATAATTGGTTTACCTTCACTTAACCGCAATGGTATTAAGAGTAAATTAATAATTTACAGTAGAAACTGAATTTTTGTATTTTGTATTCATTTATTTCTGGAAATAATCATGAAAAATAAAAATTTTAGAATTTTTTTTTGAGAAAACAATTTTTTGGCAAAAAACAAGAGAAAAAAGATTACTTTAGGTTTTTATTATGATAAGATTCAAAATTTGCTATTAAATGAATAGTTTTCATCTTTATATTAATTTATTTTCGAATATAAAGTTGAAAAATGTTTTTTTTTTGAAAAAAAGTTAATTTTTTGCAAAAACACAGTTTTTTTGACAAAAATGTGAAATAAGGAGATTATTTTTAGTTTTTAATAAAAGTAAATTATCAATTTAACATAAAAACAATATTTTATCACTTTAAATTTATTAATTCATGATTTATTTGCCCGAAAAAAAAATTATTTTGCGAAAAAACGCAAATTTTTTGAAAAATCTCCGATACTTAGACAAAAAGTTAATAATAGCAAGAATATTAATAGTTTTAATTAAATTTATACCTGACACACTAATTTTTAAAGCTTCCTAATATTTTTTCTCCGTTTTTTGTTTTTTGCAGGATGCAAATCGTTTTTCAAGCGCAGCGTGCGCAGGAACTTGACATACTCATGTCGAGGCAGCCGCAGCTGTCCAATCGACCAGCACCATCGAAACCAGTGCCAGTACTGCCGGCTCAAAAAATGCATGAAGATGGGCATGCGAAGAGAAGGTAAGCATTGTACGAACTTATTAAACTAAACTAAACATATCCCCAAATCCATTCTACCATAATTTTTCTTTTATTTAAAAAATCACATCTCACCTCTGCATATGACTGCAAAAACAAATTTTTAAAATTTCCACCTACCTATAATAAATAGTGCGGTCAGTGAAATATGAAACGTGCATCGGAGTTTCGTTGCGAGACGTCTGGAGAATATTCATTCCTCGGCCCTTGCGATACACCATTAATCTCGGCGCGCGCGGCGTCGTTAATGTATGCGCCGCGCGGTAAACGATCCCGGGGCCACGCGGTCCACATCGGGCCCTTTTGTTGCCAGCGGTCAAGTATTTGTATATTAAACCGATCAATCATGCGCAAGAATAGACGACAATAGATAGAAAACCACCCTGCATATTTCCACAAACGTACACACAGGCGCATATAACGCATGCGTGTTTTATCTGCGCACCAGCAAAAGGAGAGGAGAGGAAGGAGAGGTATTCTTTGACAAACTCACAAAGAATTAGGAGTCAAAATTGTCTCAGAGTGAGTCAAAATATGAAAAAATAAAGTTTTTGGTTAAAAAGTTTAAAAATTAGCAAAAAATCTTTTTTTTTTTGTACTTTTGAGTAGATGGTGGTTGGTTTTTTATTTTTAAATTAATGTAAACAACCAGTATATTTCATATACATGCTAATATTATACTCGTGCCTAAGAGTAGGTACTCGTATGTAGCTTTTCTTTGTGAGAATATGAGAAATAAGAACAAAATGCATGCAAAAAAAATGAATCGACTTTAATAATAAATAACTCATTTACTGATAAGAACTGATAAGAAATCTTTGGATTGAAGTTAATATAACTAATTATCTATATTTTAGTAAAAATTTGATCAAATTTGATCAAAAAATACAAAAGTTATGACTAAAAAACTAAAAAATAAAAAATTTTAAGAACTACACATGCAAAAAAATATATTTAATCAACTTTAAAAACAAATAACTCATATACTGATAAGAACTGATAAAAACTCTTTTGTCACAAGTTAACATAAATAATTATCTATACTCAAACAAAATTTGATCAAATTTTTTCAAAAGATACAAAAGTTATGACCAAAAAATAAAAAAAAATATACTAAATTTAACTTTAACAACAAATAACTTTGTTAATAACAATCCAAATCAAAAAATTCTTTAACCAGGATAAAACACTGTTAATTATTTATTACTACCCCAAATTTAATACAATTTGACATAAAACTGACGGAGATATGAAGTTTTGAAAGAAACAAAACATTATTTTCAACCAACCAGTATATTCATACACATGTTAATATTATATGTTGCTTCTCTTTGTGAGAATATGAGAACCAAGAACACGTTTATGCCTCTACGTGCAATACAGTATACCATACCATACCATCCCATCATGGTACGGTACGTCACTTTTTTCCTTTTTGAAAACTCGTGCATTCCACACAGTAAACCAACACACAATTTAACCAATTTTGTTTACACGCAAATTAAGCAATTAAAATTTTTTTTTTTTTTTAATTCTAAATATTATTATGCAACACCTTGTATATCCAAACATACGTTTGAAATATATGAAGAGGGTCGCTCGGATGACCAGTGTCCAAAGTGAATATTATGTAAATCAGGTATAAGGGATTTATTCAAATGACAGTGGTGTCCACAGTGTACTTACCCTCTTCGGGGTTTTCATTTTACCTTTTCCCACGAAAGCCCTTCCCCGGGCAAAGTAAAGAAACCAAAAATGTGTCCAACAAAATTATTGAATAATTGAATATGATATAAAACAAGATCCCGAGTCTAGAGACCAACTGGCGTCTGGATCGGAAGTGGTCAAGCAGTTAACCAACGCATCTAGTGCGAAAGTTGGCGCTGAACAATGACATGTCACATTATAGGAAAATTATTGCTTCATTTCCTCAGACATCACAAACAAGTCGTAACGTTGCATTCACAGTACATTACTTTAATTACCCGCGAATATCGGAGACAAATGATCGACGAGAGATTCAAGGAAATAAAGTTGCATCGCTTTGCAACTCACTGAAGTAGACAACGCGCGGTCGTCCGCACGGCTTTTGGGTCAAAGACCGAAGGTTATCGCTGATGAGCAGTACTCTCCGCTGGTACAACTCAAATCCGAATGCCGGAACAACAAATGTCTCCGTAAATATTTATTGAATTTCGACAGAAAGCGAAATGACGCAATGAATAAATTTATTTTGAGTTTTTTTTGGAGAAAATTTCGGGTGGTTCAAGTGGAATGACTTCATTCTTCGCACTGTTTGATGATGCGCTATCTGTTGGTGTGTGCACCGTGTGCGCGCGGGTTTCTTGCGCTTAGGTATTGCTCGGCTCGAGGTCAGGGTCAAGAAAGGTCATTTCCCACGATAGCCAGCCGGCCGAGGCATAGCAACGCGAGCTTTTACCATTTTACCATACGGAATTGTAATACTCGTACGAGAGGCATGCATAAAACATAAAAACCATGTGTTTTATTTGGTACGATGGCGACACATGCGCCACGGAGGAGAAATGATTACGGAACTCGGTGTGGTTTTGCGCCCAAGATTCGGTTTCGTTAAGCTGCGCGCGCGACTTATTGCGACTTGCGACCTCTTAGGCTACTTTCTTCTTCTGCCTCTCTGCCGGCGAGATGAGCCGGAGCGTGGCATACCGGTTCACAAATTCTGTGACACACACCGCCACGGCGCGAACGCGCGTAAAAGCGCTAAAAGGTCACAAGGTGAAATCGCTCGGGCGGCTCTCTATCCGCTCGTGTCGTCATGTGTTTTAAAATATTCGACAAACTGTGCATAAATGTTGCATTGTTTACTAGACAATGCGCGCGAGCAAAAAATTTCAGCAACTTTAAGCATGAATAACTCATAGACTGATAAGAATTGATAAACTATCTTTGGAGGCAAGGTAATATAACTAATTATCTATGCTTTAGTCAAAATTTGATCAAATTTTATATAAAAATAAAAAAGTTATGATCAAAAAACTAAAAAATGAAGAAAAAGTACAAAATTCAACTTTGACAATAAATAACTCATATACTGATAAGAATTTATAAACAATTTTTGGATGGGAGTTAACATAACTAATTATCGATACTTTGGTGAAAATTTTATCAAATTATATCTAAAAATAAGAAAGTTATGATCAAAAAACAAACAAAAATAAAACAAAACCTTGAAAAAACCTAAAAAATGTAGTAAAATCCACTTTAACAACAAATAACTTTCTTTATAACAATCCAAATCAAAAAACTCTTTAACCACAATAAAATATAATTAATTACGTATCACTACCCAAAATATAATCTACTTTAAACCAAAAACAGCGGAGATATGAAGTTTTGAAAGAAACAAAACACTAATCGACAAATCTTGATGAGATGATAGTCTCTACGAGTAGAAATTAGTTGTGAGAAAATTAGTTAAATTTTCGGCTCGCGTCTCAAGTTATGCATAAGCAGCCACCACGTGCCGTGCGGCGGCCGCACATGAAATATTGAAAACGCCAAACATCAGAAACACCAATCTCGGCAATCAATGTTAATTCAAACGTCAAACGTTTCATATAAATGATCCCAGACAGGGCTCGGCGCGCTTGATTGATGATAGATATCCATGGATGGATGCGGTGCGTATTGGAACGCGATCTGTGTTGCACCACGTCCTTAATTCTCGCATGCGTTACGATCAATTTCGATTCGGAGTGCTCGAGTGGACGATACTCAATGTAAAAAGAAGCGCTACTTATTTTATTCGTGAATATCTTTGGAAATATTTGATCAAATTTGTTGAAAATTTTATGGGTTATAGATGGGTAAATAAGGAATAATTTTTGAGATTTTGAGTATTGTAGGTTGTATAGTTTTTGAGTTATGAAGTTTTGCAATTTTTTTTGCAAATTTTTTGAAAAATTTATAAAAATGCCAATATTTTTGAAACTATTCATCCGAATGACATGGAATTTACACAAAAGTTTTGCTATATATTAATAAATGCATGCTGAAAATTTGATTGAAATATTTTGAAAAATACTCTCAAAATTTTAAATTTTTCAACGCGCGGTTTGATTTTTCCGTTGACCTTACAAAAAGAAAAGCAAAACACGCAAAAAAGTAGTAAAAAACCTGGGTAACATTTAAACGTTCGTGTTTTACTGCTAATCCCGAGTTAATTTGCAGTTAAAAAGACATGAAATCAAATTGAAAAACAGGTTCGCAAATCATAAACGTCGGTGCGCGCGAGCGGAATGCAGTTTTATGTTTTGACACACTTCAAGCCATTTACCAGGTCCACACCACAAACCCTCTCGCCCGAGAGTCTCAAGGCCGAAATCAATCCCATCTCCCATGATTTATACTAGTTTCTGATTTGCATGTTCGCATGTCTTTTCCAGCCGTCCAGAGGGGTCGCGTGCCCCCATCGCAACCGCCGCTTGCTGGACTCTCGAATCAATTCCTCAACTCGACGGATCCAGTCTCGACCTCGTTGAGTAATCACACTTACCTGAGCAGTTACATTTCGTTGTTGCTGCGCGCCGAGCCCTATCCGACCAGTCGGTATGGACAATGCATCCAGGCGAATAACATTATGGGCATTGATAATATTTGCGAACTGGCTGCGCGTTTGCTCTTCTCGGCGGTGGAATGGGCAAGGAATATACCATTTTTTCCTGATCTGCAAGTGACTGATCAGGTATAACCTAAAAAATTGAAAAATTTGTCTCCCGGGCTTAAAAACTTATTTTTGTGTTACAGGTTGCTCTGTTGAGACTAGTATGGTCCGAATTGTTTGTTCTAAATGCAAGTCAATGTTCCATGCCGCTCCACGTGGCACCACTCATCGCCGCCGCCGGGTTACACGCGTCTCCCATGTGCGCGGATAGGGTGGTACAGTTTATGGATCATATTCGGATATTCCAGGTAAAAAAATTAATTTTTTCTCTCAAAAATACCGGTATAATACCGGTTTTTCTCATAAAAATACCGGTATTATACCGGTTCTCCTCACAGAAATACCGGTATTACACCGGTTTTTTTTTATTATACTTTTTTTCTAAAGAATATTGGTATTTTGCTAATTTTTCTTAAACAATACCGGTATTATACCGGTTTTTCTTTTAAAAAATACCGGTTTTTAGTAAAAAATATCGGTATATAAGAATTTTTCTTAAAATATATCAGTTTTTCTAAAAAATACCGGTATTATACCGGTTTTCCCAACAAAAATACCGGTAATATACCGGTTTTTCTAAAAACACCGGTTTTTACACAAAAAATTCAATTTTACTATTTTCTCTTCAAATACCGGTTTTTCAACAAAATACCGTTGGATTATAAATTTTTATCACTAAACACCCAAATGAACGACATTCTGAATGTGAACACATAACCCCTATTCAAAACTCTCTGGTCCAGTGTCTTTGCAAGAGCAAAACCCAATGAATACAGATGTTAACATCCTGAATGCGCGCATTCAACAGCCCCTCCGCATACATTGTTATTGTTTCAGGAACAAGTGGAGAAGTTAAAAGCGCTGCACGTGGACTCGGCTGAATATTCCTGCCTGAAAGCCATCGTCCTCTTCACGACAGGTAAGTTTCTTGGTGCAGCCTGCATTACATCCACATCAACAGCATGTCACTGCATCACAAGGGTGTCAGTCACATGATCATGTGATTTTTAAGCAAGAAACTCCTCGGGGTTGGGGTTGGCGAAGATAACAAGTGCTTTGTTTTGCGTGCGGTCAATGCGGGTGACCACAAGCACAAAGATAGCGGGTGACGACTGCGAGGTGAATGCACAATGCGCGCACATGACATGGGTGTACATTGTGAATATGAAATTTCTGTGGTAGGAAATATTTTTGTATTTTTGGTTGACCTTAAATCAAAGGTCGTAATATTTGGTTGGTTGGGGATAAGTCGTCCCTGTAGTGTAATAAATTCCGACAATTAAGCAGGAGTTGACCTTTTGCCCTCCAAGAAAGGGCAGAACGGTAAAAATCCAAGCGGAGAAGCCCGAAAAAAGGGCGTTGAGGTAATAGCTATTTAGAACTCATCTGCGCCTTGTTAAAGTCTTCAAAGCAACGCACAACACAAAGGTTTTTTATTCTTATACAAACAGCTGCACATAACCTCATTCGAAACAGTTTACGGCGTGAATGAGGTTAGGTCAATCTAGGCGTGGATGTTCTGCACTTCCTCCTCCCCTAGAAAAACGCAACAAACACAAAATTCGTATTATTTCGTATGCGTTTTGTGTTTTGAGGCGAAAATGTAACGCGCAATGTAACTAACTGGAAAGAGGGTGCAGATGTAATGAACTGGCGCATATCATATCACCGAATCTGATAACTTGTCAACGGACGAGACTGCGTTGTGTACGGTGCACAGCTGGAATTCGCATAACGCTGCATCACGAAAACAATACTAGGGGAATTTTATTTGTAGTACACGTACAACAACGGTGATGGTCTTTTTTTTTCTTCAGCAAGCGACATTTACAAAATTTTGATAAATCGATACGCGGAGAACAAAAGCTTCTTCACAAAGGGACCGTACTAGTGGAACTAGTACAGGTATTATACACAGGTACTGCTATTCTTGAGGATTTTTATGAGGATATTCTAAATTGGGCGTGCGGGTGTACGTGCCTGTGTCTTGTGCGATATGTCGACTCACGAGCGCGCGCGCGAGCGGTCGTCGGGATGGGTTACGAAAGGTCGTGACTCGCCTGGTCACGACTAATGCGCACGTTGTGTGTGTGTGAGATTATCCAAAGAGAGGTTGAAGAAGCGCCTCTTGCGCGCTGTTTTCTGAAGGTGGAATTGTGTAAAAGCTGGTCGCGATGTGCGATGATTGAAAATCAATTTTTCTAGTTCTCGCGGATGGGGATTGTTGGGCTCGTAAGTGCCAATAAATAATAATGACAATTATCGTGTTGAAGTGCGCACTGCGCACCTGCGAGCTCAACTTTGACCTGGTACGGAGTTAGTTACAGTAGTCCGTGTCTTGCTTTGTTATTATATTGGATATTATTGGTTATAAATAAAAATTAATTACTTTTTTGGTGGTCAGAGGGTAATTATGTTGTTGGTGATTAAGTATACAAAATTTGGTTGCGATTGGATGGATAGTTTTTGTTAAAAACGCAAAAATGTAGTAAAAATTTGGTTAAAAAGTAAAATTTATCAAAATTTTAAACTTTAATTTGATATAACTTAATGAATTTTTAATATTTTAGTTTGATATTTTCACTATTGGATAAACAATTACTTATTTTATGAGTATAAAAAAATTTATTAAAATATAACTATTAGTTTAAGAATAAATTGCAGAAAACTAGTAAAAATTTGGTTAAATCCTTAAATTAACCCAAAAATCAAACTTTAATTTCGTATAGCTCAGAGGCATCTAAATATTTTTATTTTTATTAGATAAATAATTACTTTTTTTTATGACTCTGCCAAATTTTATTAAAATTAAACGATTAGTTTAGGAATAAATCGCAAAAAATCGATATTTTTTTCATAAATTTTTGCATTTTTTGCACTTTTTATGTTTTTTCACCATTGTTTGGCACTATACCGTTGAGCAAATTGAATCATGCACAACTCTGTATCTGTATCTGAATCCCGTGTGTCATGGATAGGCGAATAAGTGCTGACACAGATTATACTCGTACTCGCGTGCGCGTTGTGGAAATCGAGCGGCGCCCATCGCTGATTTGTGTTAATTCGTGCGTCAAATCCGATTCGCCGCCGATTGCGTCCCGCTGCGGGGCGCGCGAGCCCTTATTATGTGTTAATTTCCATTTCATGCGACTGCATTCTGAATGTCATTCGGCGTCCTGCAAATAATCCACTTTGGATTAGCGACTGCGGTGATGCTGATCATCCACTTCAATCTGCGCCGATTACGCTTTATTTCCGAATCATCCCGTCACGTCGTGCGCGGTGATAGTGTGTGAGACACGCTGTGGGCGAATTTAATTTCTCCGCAAGTTCCGCGCGTGACATTTGTCTTGGTCGACCCTTCGGTATAAAATAGCTAAACATGCGCTAAAAAGCCGTCGATGCAGCTACCCTTGGTGCAGACTGTGTGGGGATTTACGAATTAGATGCGGTGTTAGTCATGCGGCGACATATTGCACTCATATTATGGGTGAGCATTAAATTAATCATCAAAGTGTAGTAATTTTTGCTAAAATGCGAATTCTGATAACAATTGATAAGAAAAAACTTCCAAAATTTCACCAATCACTTAAAACATCATAACCTACAAATTGTTTTTTAAATTTTTTAAAAATTCAAAAGGGATCATCTCTTTTCAGAAACTCTAGAACAAAATTTTAAACACGTGTATCTTTCGTATTTTTGCATTAATCTTAATGAAATTTTCACCAATATCTCCCAAATTTCCTACTCAATAAACTTACATTTAAAATTTTTCATAATCCAATTGGGATCTGACCTCCCCATAAACCCTACATCAACTTTAATCAACAAAAAAATTATTTTTTGTAATTTCTACAACCCCCAGTACATTTTACGATAAATTAAGAAAGAAACACCCTTGTGCTGATTGTGATACTACTGTAATTCATTATTGCGTTTAGGGGATTCAAAGCCACAACCCCTAAAACAAGATATCAACGCACACACAAGTGCGGCAACTATTGTGCGCCGCCGACATAAAATAACAACAACGAAAAATGTTTTAATCCGCCGTGCATAAATTATCCTCACCGCCGTACTGTCAAAATTAATCAAACACACCTCGCATTACAATTTTACATATTCAAATATTGTTTGCATTGCGTCGGTGGACAGTGGACAGGCTCGTTAGTTATGATAAATCCTGCGATCCTGTTTGCTCAAAAATTTTCCGCAGCCTTTCTGTTGCGTTGGGTCTAGGCCAATTGATATCACGGATATCAAGGACGATTTGTTAATGATAACATGGCGGTTGTGGTGATTTCCGGCGCACGTTTTGTGAAAATAAACGAAACTAGTCGTAGTTTTGGGATAGTTGCCCATTTGCCCGGCTGATTTTGGCAAGATACGATTTAGTGGAATTAGGCGTATGAGTGTATCGGTTTATTCGGAGGTAGACCGCGTTTTGGTGGCTGTAGCGGTGGCGGTTTTGTGGGGGCGGCGAATAGAGAACTAGATTAGCGCGCGCGCCAACCCTTTGCGTGTTAAAGGTCAGAACCCAAAGATAAGGTTTCAATTTAATTTATATATACGCGTGCAGGGTGGGGTGGTGAGGGTGGGTAATGTTATCAAAACGGGGGTTTGTATGGGCCATAAACAGAAAATTTTGCAGTTTTTTTTTTAAAAAAATTAGTATTTTTGCTCTAGTTTCTAAAGTAAATGAGATAGAAAGTTGATTTTTGTTGCATTTTAAAGATAATTAAATTACACATGATATATTTATTTAAAAATAATTAATTTTGGTTAAAAACTTGGGAAAATATTTAAAATAATGCAATTTTTAGAAAAAAAAATGTAAAATTACGCCAAATTTCAAACTTTAATTAAGTATAACCTAATGAAAAATTATTATTTTTGTCGGATTACTTTGCCATTGAATAAATAATTACTTATTTTATAAGAATGCCAAATTTCGTTAATATTAAATCATTAGTTTACTTATAAATTGCAAAAAAGCAAATTTTTTAGGCATTTTTACAATTTTCGCATTTTTGCTATTAAAATTGCTGTAGTTTCTAAACTAAATATGATAATAACTTGATTTTTATTTCATTTTAAAGATAATTAAATTGTACTTATTTTACATACTAAAAAATAATTCATTTTACCCAAAAACTTTAGTAAATATTCAATTTTTTGCAATAATTATACAAAAAAACTGCAAAAATCTTCTTTTCTGCAAAATATTCTATACTGATTTGACCTTCTTGATGCAGCTCTTCTTTTTCCTCCTCCTCTGAGTCTCGGTGTCTACCTTGCGGGTACCTGGCGTGTCCGCCCGTGACTTCCTAGTCTCAGGTCTCTCGCCTCGTGCTGTCAAAGGTCAAATATTCAATTACTCACTTGGCATGCACGCCGCTTGCATCCCGACCATCTCCGCGCGTCATCTTCGCAATTATCTTTGTTAATATTTCCATTCACTCATTTTTTCTCGGCTTTTTTGTGTGGTGTATGTGCCAACCCAGCAACCCTCAGAAGGTTGCATTGTGCGCGCGTGGCAGGCGCGTAATTCGAGACATTGCGCCACCGGGGGCTGGATTAATAAAGTCAAAGCTCAGATGTTGCATGCTGCATGATGCACCCTTCCAGGGCCGGGGGCGACGTTCCGCATACATACACACAGAAAAAAATTAAAAGCCACAGAACAACTCACCCCAGAGAGCGGAGATGAAAAGTGCGCCCCATTGTTATCTAGCGCACTGTGGCAAAGATTAAAATCGATATTCACTTCTGTGCGTGCGGTGCACAATGCACACACTCTGGCATATAATTATTATTAGCATTTCAAATGACATTTCAAGATTCAAGATTCGAGATTCTTTTTTTGTTTCGGATGCACTTCTTGTGGGCACATTATTTACGTCCTCTTCACTGTCT